ACTCGACCAATTGTCACTAGATGCGAGGGGTCATCTTCAACATATATTCCCCAGAGGGATCTGCAGTAGTTGCATAACTCCCTTTAGTGTTGACTCGAACAACATCATCTTGACCTATATAAGGTGTTCCTTCAGTCTGCTGTTGAGAACGAGCAAAAAATTTAAACATCTTATCAAACTCTTGTTGTAAGAACTGATGTATTTGATTCAAATTTTCTTCAAACTACATCCCTATTTTCTGTAAAGCCTCCTGATTGTAAGAGTCGGTAGTGGACCTCCGTGATGGTGGACCAAAGTAATCACGAAGGCCCGAAGATCCACCAGTATTGCACACTCGTTTTGGGTGCTCTGATTTTCCTATGGTCGTTGTCAATGTGTCTTCTCGACCATGGGATACAAATGATCCTTGAGTGGTCTGCTTAACTAAATCATCTTGCCACAAATCAACAATAGGTAAGTTACACACTAAATTAGGTAGGAAGCAAGTGTAATTAACATGTTATATATATTTTTACTTACAATTTTCTTAACAATGACTCGTAGGAGACTCAGAACTCATTTAACCATCAGGTATTGTACGAGTTGTCTTCCACATCTCATAACAGGGGGGAGGAGATGCAAGATCAGTAGACTCAAGGCCTACTAACTTTGCTCTGACCTTCATGAGCCGCTGCTCCAACAATGCATACCCAACCCGTGACAATAGATGAGATGCATCGTTCAGCTTTTGACGTTTTTGAGCAGCTAGTCTTTTATCCTACAATGCAAATAAAAAAAATTAAAGTAGGACATTAAGTACAATCAATGTGAGAATAACTAACAACTAACCTACCAATAGGGGTCTAACCGTCTGACACGAAATTACAACCAATCATCTTCACTAATATGATACTTTAGGTAGGGAGATTCATCTTGATACATTGTAAATACGTACTTTCGTGTCAAGAAAGTCTTGAAGTCCCTCTATCTAGTGGCAATGGATGATAAAATCTTTTTTCTCATCACCTCAGTATTAGAAATGTCAAAATTTATTGTTAAATTCAATTATTAATAACAGTGTTCAATAAAAGTGAAAATACTTGAATATCCTGTCACTTGAGATTCTTCTCGGTCTCCTCAATATCATCTCAATATGGAATAATAATAGAAACATGGTGTCGAGCTAAAATTGTCAAACAACTCCTAAACTTTGCAGCATTTAGGCCCAATGCCTTGTTCGACATCAACTTGTATTTTCTCCCTAGCAACACGACCCATTGTCAACCCCTTCAATCGGGTAATGGATCTACCTCCGCTCCTACAACTAGCAGATGTTGAATCCAACATAATCGTGAAAAAAAAAACAATGATTAATAAACTTCAACAAAATTAATATATACTCATATTTAAAATATATATACAAACAACAAAAAATGTAGGACTAAAATAAATAAATTGTAGAAATATAACAATGCAATGTATAAATCGTAGGTGCATTCAAACAAATAAATGGACAACAACAAATAATAACAATTCAATCTCAATAAGAATACAGTGGAAGCATTCATGCAATATCATGATTGAGATCTTTAAAAATAATCACGGACTCTCTTTCTTTCCAGTAAGAAAGGAGACTAGGGCTTTTATTTATACTGGACTGGATCCGATGGAGCCTGTTGATGTACAAGAAGATTCATATCTAATCATAGAATTCAATTCAAACATAAAATTATAGATATAGATTGCTTAACTCAAAGATACTCAATACATTCTAAAACTTGAATCCAATCGAAAAGAAATATCAACTATCACAAGTAGGACACAATGCATATGTTGTCGTTGCTCATCATGGTTGAAAAATACTCTTGGGGTGCTACAATGGTTGTTGTCATTGTTGTCGACTCAAAAGCCCTCACATATGAGAAAAAAGAAATCCTAAATGAAATAAAATACAAAATTTATATCGAACCTCGAAGAAGTCAAAGTAAAAACTACTTTTTATATAGGGTAGGATCTCACCTGATATAAAAGTAATTTTTACATCGATTCCTTTAAGGTCCGACGTAAATTCTCCTCCTATTATTTTTTAAATGTCACTACATTTTTTTTAAATCGAACATTTTATAATCTAACAAAAAAATAACGTAAAAAACTTATTTTACACTGATATATATATATATATATATAATTGGAAAGAGCATAAATAATAAATTTTATGACGTGTCAACACACCAAAATATGAAAAGAAACTCTAAATACTTACACATGTTAACACAAGAAGAAATAATAAATAAATTGAAAAACTTACCCATTCTATTTTTCATGACTAATTCACACACTCTAGTTTTTTTTCTCTCATCTTCATCACTTTCACACTCTCATCTTTATGCTCCCATGATTTTCGTGTTCGCGCTCTCGGGTTTTCATTCTTCTTATCTTTCTCATCCTCATGTTCCATTATCCTGCTCTCATCTTCCCATTCTTAACTTAGAAATTCTCTCATAAATCACTTTATCTTATGTTCTTACAACTCATCACACTTTCTCCAATGTATAGAATCTCTTAATATTCGTTATGTTTAAAAGTTATATTAAATATATTATTAGATGTACTTTGATTATAAATATTTTTATGCCTTTGTTGTGCTATCTGAAACTAGGGTAAATGTTATTTGTTTATGCTTGTATTTATGAGTGTAATTTATATACTTTGAATTTAATTTATGTTTCTCCAACTAAGTTTAATATCGTGTTTGAAGTTTAATACAATGATTAATCAAATAATAATTTTTTGTATTAAATTTTAAATTGTTCAATAGAACAGTTTCACTACACACAAAAATTGTGACGGATATTTGTGATAGATAGTACAACTAATAACATTGAGTTCATTTAACCTGTGATTGAGGTTATTTTGTGACGGATTAGCAACAAATATAAATTATCTCTAAATATATCATTACAAATATATGAATAAATCTCATAAATAATATATTTAAAAAAAATTATTTAAATATAATCTTTGTAAGTTATTTATCAATTAAACATATTTATGATTCATATCACTTTTTTTAATACAACATTGAACCAGTCAGTTTAACCAATTAAATTAGAAATCAGATTAAATTTCGGTTCATTACTTCTAAATAACTTAATTTTAATTAAATCGTAATTAAGAAAAAATCAAAAAAATTGGTTGAATTTTTAGATCGAACTAATTTTAATAATAAAATAAAAAAATTGGTTGAATTTTTAAATTGAACTAATTTTAATAATAAAATAAATATTTAGGATCAAATTTTTTAATATAATTCTTTTATAAAAGATATAAAATATTTAAATTTTTTATTTTATATTAGTTACATTAATTTTAAATAAAAATTATTTTATTATATTTTTATTTTATTTTAATAATTATTTATTTTATATTTATAATTTTTGTTATAATTATGAGTATATTTTTTTATATAAAAATAGTAATAATAAATTTATTATATGTTTATTATATTATAAAAATATTATTTTATTAAATTTGGTTAAATCTCCTTTTAAGTCTTTAAATTCTAAATAGATGTCTTTATTAGTTCCGATCCAATTTTAAAAATATTAGTTCATATACAAAACTTAACATAGACAAAAAAATTCATCTATCATAATACCGTTTTTTTTTCCTCTTTTTTCGCTTTTTTCTTATTTCTCTCTTTATTTATTTATTTATTTTTATTCTTTTTTCTGTCTTATTTTCATGTTTGTTTCCCTTCTTCTTTTTTTCTCTCACTACATCTTATTTTTTAATAACGTGTATTAAAATTTAATAAAGTGAGTTCTTTATTATTATTGAAAAATTTAAATTATCTAAAAATATTATAATTAAATATATTATATTTTAAAAAATATTATAGTATTAGTTTGAGATATTATAAATATTATTATGTTAAATATTTATGTTAAAGTATTTTTTTATTAAATATATTTTATGTTAAATATATATTATTATGTTAATTATCATAATTCATTTTAACTATAATTAAATTAAATGAGTAAAAAATATATTTATTTCATAAATATTTGATATTTTATGATATTTTTTAATTAGATGAATAATTATTTATTTCAATAAAATAATTTTAAATTAAGTAATAAATAAATTTATTTATTGTCATCATAATTTAAAATAATTACATGATATTTTTTAAATTTTAATATTGATTTTAAAATTGTTTTAACTTTTTTATTAAATTTCAATAGAATAATTTTTAGAAAGGAAAACAGAGACGGTATATATGAAAGAGAAAAAAAATAAGAAAAGAAAAAATAAATACGAACAATAAATATGTATACATGAGAAAATTAATTGATATTTTATTTGAAAAAAATTTCTTATAAAATTAATTCAGTAGACAATAGATAAATTAATATTGTTTTATTAGTTTTACACTTTGTATGAAATTATGTATCAAACATTTTTTACACAATTATTCATCAAATATATAAAAAGTATTTTTTTTATTATTAAAAGATAATTTTTAATTATTTTCAAATGAATATTTTTTTTAATTTATTTTTCAATCTACCTTTTATATATTATAAAAATATGTATATATATATATATATATATATATATATATATACTATTTATTTAAATTTTATAACAAAATGATAATAGAATAAATTTAGTTACAAATCCTAAATGGCTGATAAAAAATCCAAGGGCATTATCATTTTATAGGCAATACATTAGCAAATTGGGTCTCAAACATAGACCACAAATTCAATCGGAACCTAATGGACACAGTAAGTTCATCCTTCCCGTCTTCCGTAATGCCATGTAAACCAGCGGAGGACAAAACTCTCGAGCTCGTCCACAAGTTATCAAGCCATTTCAAAGAGCGACAATTTCCGGAGCCTATGCCATCACCGGTAAGAAATATAAGGAGCATGGCTTATATTAGCTTGTATTTCATGACAACACATCTATAGAAATACATCAATTGACTGCCTTTTTTCAGGGTAGAAACAGCCTTAGGCATCGTCAGATTCATTTCCAGAATCAATATTCATGGGTTGGGGATTCTTGTAGCCACTAATTTCATCCATGTAACGTTTTTTATCTTCACGTGCTTTTGCCTCGTATGGTTCCTTCTCTTCCGCTGTGCATTGAATAGGTAAACAATATACAGTTTAGTGGATTTAGTCCCTAAGCATAATAAGCTCAGATCATGAATAACACTCGGTGGAACTACATGAAACGGAGCATGTAGCAACAGCCATACCTGACATCTTTTTCCATTTCTCTCCAAGTACTCTTCCCACATCCGTAAACGAAATTCCAGGATTAGTTTTCTTTAGATTCTGCAGAGAAGCAGAAAAAATAGTTTGAGTTAATATTATGCAATGATGGCTAAACATGTATAACCCCCCCCCCCCCCTTTTCTCTCTACTTAACACCATCTCAGGTCAATAATCAAAATAACAACTAAGAATTTTGCCTAAGGTCATATTTGGCTACACTGAGCTCGGTGCATCAGTTCAGTGTTCAGACACTTTGGAACAATACCTATTCAGGATCACTTGCATTAAATGCAGTGTTGCTGGACGATCTCAGCAGTATCTATTACATGGCATTGTGAAGATTTTCTTTACCCACCTGAGAAACTTCGATATTCTCCCCCAAATTTCTAGTAGAGTAATACTAAGTACACAGATCTACTTCAATTGCCATTATAACCCCCAAACTGAGGCTAGGAAGCTTTGTAAAAGTAGGTGATATACTCCCACAGACCACTTAAACTCAAATTCAAAACCATACTTCCAACCTATATGACAGAATAGAACACACACCTCTCTTTCCAATTTAGAAAAGAACATGAAACCGGACATTGCTCTCTTGGGTGCGTTTGGGTCTTTTTTCTTCTTCTGTTTTTTCTTCTTTCCATCCTCATCATCTTTTGATTTCTTTTTTGAAGAAGACGCCTTAGAAGGCAAGTCCTTCTTTGCTTCCTTTTTGGCGGGCTTCTGAAAATTGGCAATATAAAGGTGTCAAACACATCATAGATTTCAGGAGTAGGAAATTATCACAGATAGCAAAGGCAAACAAAAACCACTTGCCTCTTTCTCATCCCCACTATCACTAGCATCAGAATCATCGGCCCCAGAATCATCAGTAGGAGAACCTTCATCATCTTTGTCAGCAACAAAATCCGAATCCTGTACAATTACCATAGTTTAAAGTATATATAGAAACAAACAAGACAGGGAGAATCCTGCCAAGTTAACCCCCCAAAGACCAAAGTTGAGCAACTTTAACAGAGTCAAGCCTGAATACACATGTACAGAAGAAGCACAGAACAAAGGCACACAAACACTATCAAAGGAAAATTGAAAACACAAGAAACTAAAATGGATATATAATTAAAATAGGAGAAAGGTCAACTCATGCTTATGAATGTAAGTTCAACAATTGAGAAAACTGAAAGATATGCTTGTTGTTTGCTTAAGTCTCAAGCCCAACTATTTTCAGATGTTAGTCACCATAAATAAATGTTGTCTCCTTTTTTATAAAACTAGAACACAAATTTAGTAAATGTAAAATATCTGTTTGATCACCTCCTCATCACTTTCATCACCCCCAGCTTCATTTTTTATACGCTCAAGATGTGGATCAACAGCATCATCGTCATCATTCTCAAGAACCTTCTTTATACCAACAGTGGGTTGGGCGTCTCCTAAATTCATAATTTTCAAGCCCTTTGAACTGCATGTACAGGCCAAAACAAATTGTTTATATAACAATCAGTTGTAAGTCAAATTAGGCAATGGACTAAGATTTACCTGATAAATTCATACAAATTGTGGTACTCATTTCTCTGAATATTACGGAAGAGATGCTCTTGTTCAGATTTTAGTCTGATAAGAAGGTCAAAATAATGCATATTGGAGCCACCAGCAGCATGCCTCTCAAATTCCACATAATCAATCTAATAGGAAAGATATACAATTAATACCTCCATTTTGTAATTATCATATGCAATTGACATTTGATCATCTCATCTGTCAGCACAATCAGACATTACCTCTTCATGAAGAATAAGAGTGGGAGGTTTAGGTAGAAAGAAGAAGCTCTTCTCAAGGGGATACAGAATTCCATCTTCAGCTTTCAAAGATGATTTCACAGCATAACCATCTTGACAACTCCTAAATTTTCCAGGCTTAGTCACTTTGGCACCTGACAAGCCGCGTAATATTGTGGTGAACACTTCATGAATAAGCCCCTGATTATTGAATTGAAAATGAAACATGTCAGCTACTACATTACGTCATTTACATAACCAACTGTAACAAAAATCATGCATCACTCAATCTAAATTATGCAAGATGCTTGAATCAATTATCAACAGTCAAACCAAAATACCTTATAAGACAGCTCCAACTTATCCTTATACTTCGTGTTATAAATATCTTCATTTATTGCCAATTCACTTTGAACTACATAATCAGTTTCGAACTGTACAGAAATCACAAAACAATGTTAGAAGCATGCAAAATACACATCTCATAAATTGGCAAACCAAAAACCATTAGGCAATTACCTGCATCACAATATGAGGGTACAAAGTTTGTCCCTTCCGAATAGGGGGATCAAGGCTAATAATAACGAAGGTATGAGGTTGATTAGACTACAGATACATATGAGAAATTGTCAGCAGACTTAAAATGTCAAGAGTAAAGCATCATTTTAAAGACATTGATGGATAATGCCATTACACATCCTCAATCACTTATATGAAAATAAATATCACTAGACCAGGATATGAACCTTAGGAAGTAAAAATAAGCGAACCACACTGCTATACTGAATTTTGAAATCATTAGCTTGTCCCTGAAGCCGCAAAAACGACATGTGTAACTCAACACTGTATCGTCCCCTACATAAAAGTACTACTTTCAATTAATAGATATCAATATGTATATATTTATTGAAAGAACAGAAATACTAGCAGTACCAAGACAGCAATAAGAGGCAAAAAATGCTTGAATAATATTTTTCTGTGCATTTAAATACATTACCTTGGAGTAAGGATTGCAATACCCTCAAAAGTAACAACAGCATCTTCACCTCCAGCACCAACATCAGCCATCGACATTATTTTGTCACGGAAAACCTGATATTATTAAATGTCAATTAACCTAAAAGTTAATACAGCATGGGATCTATTATATCTGGGAACAAACTCACCTGAGCAGGAGGACGATTTTCATCACCAACAAACTGGGTATTGGAATTTGGTATATGGAAACTTATCTCCATCAGTGAATCTTTCTGAGATCACAACATAAACCATATTAGACCATAAAAAATTCACATTCAAATTGAACATAATATCTAGAACCTTTAATACTGTAAAAGCCCAAACATGAATGAGAACAATTTTCCAGACAAAAAAGCTGCTAGTTTAAAAAAACTATGAATTTGCTAAAACATATAAAATATAAAGGTGCATGAAAATATAAATATACCTCATTAGCTCCAGTTGTGTCATCCACATGAAACTCCAAGATCACATCATTCTTCCCTTGAAGCTGTGTTTGAGAGACATCTGCTAAAGACACTTCAAAAGCTTGTTTTGAACCAACCATAAAAGCCAGCATATTTCCTGAAATGGAAATAGAAACATAAGAGCATCCACTACACTACTAGTAGCAAAACTACAAAAGAAGTCAAGTCAGATTTTATCAAACAATTTTTGCAAAAGAATAAACAAAAATGAGATCATTAAGCTCCTGTTGAGAAGTCAACCACCACTTACCATCCAAACACATACAGTCGAACATATACACAAATAAAACCAGTTCCCTCTCTTATCAACTTTTTTCACTTCAAAAATTGCACTTAATGTGATTGCCAAAATGGAAGTAGTGGCGCATAAATACATTTGACACTTAAAGAGTATACCAAAATGAAAAGAACCAATGCAAATTGGGGAGGGAAAAAAGTACTTGCACAAAGTTCACAGCCTTCCTAGGTATATGGAATTCATTCAGCACCATACATGAAAAACCAATGCTTTCCAAGAACAAACTGGATAATATCAACTGAATTTCTTTGAAAATAAAATAGCTCTACCTTTTTCTAGAGATATTACATGCCAAACAGAACAATGATGTCAAATTAACTTATTTCCCCTAACACTAAAATTATAGAAACTAAGGATAACAAAGAGTGGCGCTTGCGACATATGTGACACATCATGTGCAGAATGTCAATTAGAACGTATAGGTCAGTTCATGTAATATTATCACTAATACACTAACCATTTAGATCAACTTCTCCCCAATTACGCCCGCTAACAGAAAGTTGTTTCTCCTCTACTGTTATACCACAGGTGTTTTGGAAAAAATTAGTCAAACTTGCAACGTCCTGCAAAATATTATAAAATAACAATATAAGAAATTAAGATACAGCATTTGATAGAACTCTAAGTTCAAATCCTCAAAATTTAGATCTGGCAAAATATTAATAAGAGGATCAAAATATAAGAAACCAAACTGGAAGTTTGAATTCCGTTTTCAACATCAAATGTATGAAAATGCACATTTGAGAGGTGCAGAGAGAGTAACCTGGTCACGAAATCCTGTGAACTTGTAGTACAAGCCATCTTTGATTTGAACACCAAGTTGGTTAGTCCTTGGCACCTTCATCCATGTTACCCCCATTATGTCTGATTTATCAACTTCAATTAATTTACCACCACCCTGTCTCTTCCATATAATTCCTCCAGAAAATATCCTTATCTGCCCTGGATTCTGCAACCCAATTATTCGAAAATAAGTGTTATGAATCTCAACTTCTAATTTCAGTCTCAAATTCACTGGAAATTTTCAATTCTTCAACTCGAATTTATTAATCTTTCTATTGAAATAACAATGAAACTGATAAAAACTAGACATAGGATATGCAGCGCAACTCTGGGTAGGGTATATGGAAAGCAAATTCAATTCATTCCTACAGATGTTAAATAAATGGTCCATAAGACCACCCAATAAAATCACTAACTGGTAGAAAAGTGGAAAATTTGGAAAAAAAACAACATTGCACTTGCTTGGTAAAACTAGGAGTATGACACTACTAAAGAAAACCTTTCTCTATAGATTGTCTATTTTCTGTCAAGGTTTTCGAAAAAATGCATATAACAGCTATTATGGGCGTCAAGGTTTTGGGGTTTCCACAACTGCAATTGTCTCTGATTGGGATCTCCACGCCCACAATTGCAACTAAATCAACCATATTTGTCAGTAATTTCCCACAATACCAAGAACCGCAATAAGCATATCTGTTCGTAATTTCCACCTATATCAAGAACTACAATAAACATATTTGCCTTAAATTTCCCACAATATCAGAACCGCGATAAACAACAGCCGCAACTGCAATTTAAAACCTTGTTTTCTACTGTCCCAGTTTTCATCTACTCACCAAAGGCAACACTCCCTTAGGGTTTTAACAGCGAAACAAAAACCACTAATTCACAAACATCCCACTCTAGTCACTACTAAAGCAACAAGTAAAATTTCAACACATTTCTTGAATAATACATAATACATAATTTCCTGCAACAAAACCGTGCAATAGTAATAACAAAAACTAGGGTTTAAAACAGGAGAAAAGAAAACGCAAAACAAAACCCTAAGATAAGCTCTCTAACAGCACCACAAATCTCACTGACACACGTCAAGTGAAACCGAGAGGTTGAAAGCAAAGCACGATTGAATGAAGCAAAAATGAAAACCCTAGGGGTTAGGAAAGAACAACGAAACGCAGGTATGAGAGAAGAAGAAAAGAAGTGAGGGAGAGAGATTACGGTGCCTCCGCGGCCTCCGAGAGTGATGTTGTTGAAGAGATGACCGTCGGACATGACTGACGGGAACCGAGTAAGAGTGAAAGTGCAGAAAAGAACAAGTGTTTGACGTTGCAAACACAACGAGGTTTTCGGTTTTTAAAATATCTCTGAAACCAAACGCAGTTATTTAAAGGAGCGCAGATAAATATTTTTAGCAGAGAAAGAAAGAAGGGAGTAGAGTGTAGTAATAATAAGCCCAACAAAAAGTGTAGCAGCCTAACAAAAACAAGACAAAAGAAAGAGTTCTTGCAGTAATTGCTTGTTACACTCCCAAATCTTCTTCCTTAGCACAAAAATTATTTTTACACGTTGACTAGAACGGAGGGTAAAAAGATAGGTACTAAGGATATTTCCCGTCAACTGATCATAAATGATCTGGTCCCTTAAATTAGCCTGTCAATAAAATTATATTTTAAAATAATTATAAATTTTTACATAATTTAAGTTAATAATTTAATAGGTTAATTTTTATTTAATTAAAAATTCATGAATTTTATTAAATTAATTAATTTTAAAAAAATATTTGAATAAAAATTTAAAATTTAAATATATTTTTTAAAAATATATTATATTAATAAATAAGAGTTAAAAATTTATTTTTTTTATTATTATTATTATCATTCTTCTATAATAATTTATTAATTAGAATTGTAATTCATTTGATCTTCAAGATTTAATCTTATATTTACTATTAAAATAAAATAATATTTTATCTTATTAATTTGTAATACATGTATACTTTTAAATAAAATAATATTATTTTTTATTTTTATTTTTAAAAGATTATTTTTCTATTAAACGGTGATTAATCTAACTTAAATCCATATAAGTCATAATCTAAATGAACAAGTATAAATAAACTTTAAAAATCACATATTTTTTTATCGTATATTTATTAAACATTCTTAACCAAGAGCTAGTTATTCACATAAACTACTTTAAATAAATATTCACATATAATAAATATAAATATTTTAATTACTCACCTACATAAATAATAAATAAAATTTTAATTATTAATTTATTGATGTGATTATTACCTATATACATGGAGGGATTTTTTTTGAAATTGAAGTTTTTTAATTTAGGTCCCTCCAAACTTAATGATTTTTAAATATATTTTTTTAATGTATTTTTTTGCTTCTTAGTTGTATACACCATTTGACTCTTTCTAAAATGTCCTTGAGGTCACCTTTTATTTGATGTAATTGATATATTCTAAGGTCATTACGAATATGGTTTATCCAATGTGTCGACTTATGATCGTAACAAAGTGTATAACAGTACACAACCCCTTAGTCTCTAGTATCTTTAGATGACAAGACTGCAAATAAATATAGGGTATGTCGGTATAAGATTGGGATGATTTTTGCTTTATTTTACTTATTAAACTAACCACATGTGTTCACATTAGATATGCAATGTTCAGTACACAATTGAGGATGCGAGAGGTCAAGGGTTATATGGTGTCGCATAAACTTATTATGGACGTATATCTAACGAAGAACCAATGAGAGTGACTAATGGCATGATGCGTGTATTTTTTGTCTCACCCTCAAATTGTTGTTTAACCTCATGGGATATCAAACGTCAAGTCGTTTCACATCCCCTTTTTTTGAATCCTTTCACAACTTTGCCTTCTCTATTCCCTCACACCCATTTAAACTAGTTGTAACTTCATCAATCCCTTTGAATCTTTTTCAACCCCTTTAAATTTGTCCCTTTGAGTGTGTTACTTTACGCACTACTACGAGACTGCACTCACCACCATTGTTGCATAAGGATTTGGTCATGCAAAACACAATTGATGCCATTGAAGTTGTGCTCATTATGTTATGCAAGCCTAGGATTCATCTTTAAGGTTTTCCTTTTTCAACTTTGTCTAAACATGTTCACCATTCTAAGTACAATGTTGCTCAAAGTCCCTTTTTGCATTTTTTGTCATTGTTCTTGGTGTTTTTCAATGTCTGTCATTCTTTTGTTTGTTTGTTGGTGTGTGACATAGAGGTCTCTATAGGGTGAAGAAAAGAAGAATATGAAAATATATGGATAAGAGTAGTATATGCACCCTTGGGTGACACCCTAAATTTTGTATGAAACTTTTGGTTATTCTAACACAAAGGTGCTAAGGAAGTTTAGGATATAAACAAGGAATAAGTTAGTCAAGGAATGAGGAAGATATATTATACAGGTTTACAACATCAACAAGTTGATTTGTAAGAATCAGGAGCCAGAAGAAATGACTTTCAGTTTTTTCTATGATATTTTTTTTGATAATTCAACATCCAGTTCATAGAGAACTGCCTACTCCCACCTCGACCGAGAAAGAGATCTAAGGCTTCTTTGAAGAAAGTAAAGCAGGAATAGATGGCCTGCCCCTAGCTCTAAAAAATCTCTATATTTTGCTATCAAAGGAGTGCTTTCATTCCCTGCCACCCGCTTTTATAATTGGATGTTCCTTATCGGTATCTCACGAAAAAATCTTTCATGATCCATTCTTCCGGAATTGGATAGAGAATGGGATATTCCACTGGGAGGGAGAGGCGGGGGTGACATCAGAAGTAGGATCGTTGAACGGATAGCAGCATCACATTGAGAATGGACTCGTCGGATTAACCACTTAGACAGAGAGTTCCCCATATTCCATTTCATTGACAACCGAAATAGATCTAAACAGTGTGCCCGGAGCGAAGGAAGGGCTTCCAAAATGGGATTGTGTCTACTATTAGGTCTCTTTGAAAAGGAAGTATTAGTTGTATTGAACGTAGCCCTTGCTCAACTATATCTAAATAATTAGACCTTTGTACGAGCTTTTCATATTTTGTGTATACACTTCAGCATAACGTTAACATTAAACATGTTCTTTTATTTCTTTGAGTATAAATGTTCTAAAAGAACGTCATGAGCATCGGTAAGTGGAGTTATAAGATGGGATTTGTTGACCTTATTTATGTCATCTTGTAACCACTATAAGGGAATATTTCTCAAAATTTGACCTTCAAATGTTCTTCCAAATTTATTAGAGGGTTTTTCGTTTTATTGGATTAAAAAGTCACACGCTTAATTATGCAAACATATAGAAGAATTAGATTAAGAGGAAGTCGAGCATTATTGAACACTAGAAGAGTTAAAAACTATGTTTAATACCTCCAAATTATTACAATCAGAATGTCACGCCATAGACCTTAAACTATACATAGGTATAACCTTTTAACTTTGAAAGTTTGTGTAAATATGAAAAATTATTGACAAAATAATTGAAGTTAGGTGTAAACTAACCTTTAGAGCAATTTTGTTTAATGTAAAGAACCAAATGGTGATCTCCAAGAAGGAATTGCCTTGTCGCCTTCGACAAATGAGATGCAAGATAATGAAGGAAAGAACGGTATCATAGTGATTGAGATTCATGATGATCTGGGAGAGAGCCAAGCAACGAGAAATCTAGATCTGATGGTTGTGACCCTTGGTGGAAATTGGAGAAAATTGGGATTAGATTAACTATGGCTAACTTGAACATAGGGTGAAATTATTATGGGGCACCGCCTTCAACCATAGTGCCCACAAACGTCACATAATGATAACACATATTTTGTATACACATTTATAACTTTATTATATAGTGGATGAACTTTTTATATGCTTTATTTTCACTTTGAAACATTTTTAGTTAGTAGTAATAAATTGGCTTAAACGTACATATTTGTTTTAATTTTACATTTTTAACTAATCTGACATTTGGTCATTATTTTGGCTACAAATATTATTTTTGGCTTATTCAAGTTGCATTGAATTTTACATTTCAGGGCTATCAAATGGATACATTGTTTACTGGATTTGGAGTTTTATGCTATATTTTACGATTTTTAGAAATTAAGACAAATTTGCTAAAATTTTGTAAAGAACCCATGCAGATTTTATTTTCATTTGTATTAGCTTATCTTTTATAATTGAACTTATAGATCTAATTAGAGCCCATATTTAGGCTCATGTTTGCTTCAACTTTGAGAACCTTTATATAGACTAAATGTGCTCTAAACTCATTCTTCTCTTTTCTGCTCTGAATTGTTTCATAGTTCTTCATATGAAGAACTAAATCTTGAGGATTAATTCATGAAATCAAGTTCAAACAATATAAATTGAGTTTTGCATTGATCATTTCTCCCTCTGAGTTTGTTCTTCTCTTCTCTAATCTCGTTGAGATATCAATTTGTAATGTTGTTTTCAAAATTTAAATTAGGAATCGATTTAATCTTGATTTAATAATTAGATACAAATTAGATTAAATGATGTTAAGATTTAATTCATATGATCAGTTTAGTTGATTAGTTGAATTGGTTAATTGTTCAAACTTAGATTGAAATCTTAAAAGAACTATGATAAGAAGGCTATTTGATTGATAATTAGTGGATTGATCTATATCTTTTTCTTTTGACTTCGATTTTATTTCTTTGTTTCCTATTTTTCTTTATAATTCTTGTTTTTAATTTTTCAAACCCCCAAATTTAACTTTTATAGAAATAATATTAAAAATTGAATATATTTCAATATGTATCCTTGAGAAAAATGACCTAAGTTTGCACTTTATAATATAAAATCTTTTGAGCAAACTTAGTATTTTTTATTTCATGAACGTCATTGAAAATCATACAACTTGTTTGAAGCCAACATGTTTCACTCAATGGATTGAATTGCATGGATTTCACTAGTGGCGCACAAGATTTCATGAACAAAGTTATGGATATGCTAGTTCACTACAAAAAAAACGTTTATTATCTACGGGTAAAATCCATAGGTAATGTTACTTTACCTACAAATTTCTTTTCGTAGGAAATCCGTATGTAATTCGCTCGTAGGTAATTACCTACAGATTTTTTTCCATAGGTAATTTACCTATGGATTATAATCCGTAGGTAATGCACTCACCTAAACAAAATATTTTTATTTCCTATAACCCCTCCCTTATTTTTTATTATTAACTAGGACCCCCTCCCCTTTATATTATATTTTTATTATTTATTATATTTTTGGAACTTTGAATTATTATTAGATTAAGAAAATACAAAATATTTTTATTTCCTACAACCCCCTCCCCTTTATATTATTTATTATATTTTTGGAACTTTGAATTATTATTAAATTAAGAAAATTGTCGTTAGCAAGATTCAAACCAAGTACCTTAGAGTTGAAGGTCGATACTCCAACCACTAAGTCTATTAGGATATTTTGATAATAACTTACAAATAAATTATATTTATATTTATCCGTGTAAATATATAAATATAAAATATATATAAATATAAAATATATATAAATATAAAATATATATAAATATAAAATATATATAAATATAAAATATATATATAAATATAAAATATATATATAAATATAGAATATATATAAATATAAATATATTTATATTTTGATATATTGATATATTTATATACTTATATATTTATATACTTATATATTTATATACTTATATATTTATATACTTATATATTTATATATTTATGTATTTATATTTATATTTATGTATTTATGTATTTATATATTTACACGAATAAATATAACTATAATTTATTTGTAAATTATTATTAGAATATCCTAATAGCTTAGTGGTTGGAGTATCAGTTTTCAACTTTAAGATAATGAGTTCGATTCTTGCTAGTGACAATTCTTTTATTTTAATATAATTTACCTACTGACAAGTAATTCCATACGGATGACATTAGGTAATGGATAATTACCCACTGGATAGAATTACGTAGGTAATATCCGTAGGTAATGTACAATTTACCTACGGATTTTTATCCGTGAGTAATATCCGTACACTACAAGAAATATTAAAATTACCGATGGTCAAAATCAGTCGGTAATAACAAAAATCTGTCGGTAAATGAATATTACAGACGTAATTCGACGACCAAAAATCAGTCTGGAAATTCGATTGTCGGTAATAATTTTATTAATTATTAAATATTTTACTTATTTATAACATTATTTTTTTTATAGAACCCCTCCCCTTATATTCTTATTATTTATTATTAATTATTTCTCCATATAATATTTTTATAACTTTGAATTATTGTCAGATTAAGAGAAATGTCATTGGCAGGATTCGAACCCAAGATCTTAGAGTCGAGACTGATACTCCAACCACTAAGCTACTAGAATTTCTTGATAACAATTTACAAATAAATTATATTTATATACAAATATACAAATACATTTATATATATACAAATATACAAATACATTTATATATATTTATATATATTTATATATATTTATATATATTTATATATATTTATATACATTTATATATATTTATATATATATTTTTATATATTTTTATATATTTTTATATATTTATATATATTTATATATATTTATATATATTTATATATATTTATATATATTTATATATATTTATATATATTTATATACATTTATATATATATATATATTTATATATATTTATATATATATTTTTATATATTTTTATATATTTTTATATATTTATATATATTTATATATATTTATATATATTTACATATATTTATATATATTTATATATATTTATATATATTTATATATATTTATATACATTTATATATATTTATATATATATATATATATATTTATATATTTATATATTTTTATATATTTTTATATATTTTTATATATATTTATATATATTTTTATATTTATATATATATTTATATATTTATATATTTATATATTTTATATTTTATATTTATATATATTTATATATTTATATATTATATATTTATATATATATATATATATATATATATATTTATATATATTTATATATAATCAAATATTTATTTTTAAAATTACTTAATTTAATAAATTATTATAAATTAATCTAATTATGATTAAATTAAATTATTAAATAAAAAATATTTTATTTTTTAATTAGTGAATAATTAAATTATATTATATAATTTTACCGACGGATTTATCCGGTCGGTAAATAATTTTTAATTTACATATGAATTTACCGACGGATATATCCGTCGATAATTACTTGTTAATTTATTGACGGATTTACCGACGGATATATCCGTCGAGTAAATTCATCTATAAATTACCGACGGATTTATCGACGGATATATCCGTCGGTAACTAATTATTATTTTACCGACGGATATATTCGTCGGTAACATCAAATTTCACAAATATTTTATATCCGATCTGTAATACGCGATTTTCTTGTAGTGGTAGGTAATGTAAAATTTATCTACGGATTTTTATCCGTAGGTAATATTTCGCAGATAATAGGCTTTTTTTTGTAGTGGTTATGGCCAATAATTTTATTAAAACATTATATATATATATATATATAATATCTCTTTAATTAATTACTAATATTTAATACATTTTTTGGTAAAAAGGAAAGAAATATCTCAAAATCTAATTTATTGCTTAATTTATATATTTTAACTAAGTATTTATTTACTTTTGCAATAATAATAAATTAAAGAAATTAAAAAAGCTAAAATTGAAGGAAACCGCTTAGTTCTAAAAGATTTGCTCAACAAAATCAGTTTAGATAGTTCATTCCCAAATTGAAACCATTCGCTGCAAGCCGCTAAGTGAATTAAGTAAAAAAAGGCTTTAGAAGACCGAAAAACACAGGTGTCAAGTTAAGTTTCATAGTTAAGTCATAAGTTTAGTTTCATTCTAAATTCTCTCTAATTTTTCTCTTCTCTGTGATGCTTAACTTCTAAATATGTTCATGGAACTTCATATACGAATAATGCTTTGAAGATTATCAATTCAAGTTATTTTTTAATCATATTTGTTTCGTCTCTCTTTACTTGTTTGTTTTCATCTTCTTCTTTTACTTTCACATAATTTCTTTTATTGTTTTTTCACCTCTTAATCATGTTCTAATTCATTTTTGTTGTTGATTCATCAATTAAAACTTGTTTTATATGGTTTAGATTTGGTTCTTAGTAATTCTAACTTATTATAATTCATTACAATGAATGTAATTAAGGTGATTTGATTGAATGTCTCAGTTTATATTACAATTCAATTTCTAGTTTTAAGTGATTGTTTGATTTAAGATTTGAGTATTATCTACGAATTTCAATTGAATTTAATCGATTGGAACTATTGTGGATTTGTTTTTGTGATTGCAACAAAAATTCTAGAAATCAATGATAATCATAAGAACAAATTATGATTGGAAAATCAATGTTTGTTCCTGTTATATTACTTCGCTATTCTTAGTTGAATTTACTTCAATTTTCATTTCAAATTTGCTCTTTACTTGTAATTTAGTTTATAATATTTTTTTTAAAGATTTATAGCTTTGTAGATGTAGATTTAATGTAATTTACTACTACTTTCCTCTAATAATTTTGATGGATTAGTTTTAT